TTGGGCCTGCGGCTGCGGCTGCTGCTTGAGGAACAGTTGCTGCTGGTGCTGGGGTGTGGCCTGGGCCTGAGTGGGGAGACCCTGGGCCTCAGTGGAAGGTGTCTGCTGTGGGGTGGGCGGAGCCTGTGGCTGCTTGGGCTGAGGTTGAGGCAGAGGCTGGCTGGGTGGGGGTTGGGTTTTTGGTTGGGGAACACTGGTTAAAAGGCCAGGCTGATTGCTGGTTCCTGCAATGAGAAAAAACTCCACTGAAGAGCTTAGAACTATTTCAGACAAAAACAGTTTCTGTCTTTCCAAAGCAACAGAAGATAGGGGTGTAAGCAGGCAGACTATCCCAAGCTCCAAGTGCTCCTGGATGAAGAGCACATCTCCCCACCACTCTGCCCCACCTAGAATGTATTCCCATCTTCTTACCTAACTAAATATCTCAAAAGTTTTCAAACAAGGGAGCCAGTAGGTGGCATAAAGGTAAAGGCACTGGATCCCACATAGCTGGCTATGTGGTTTGCGCCCTGAACCTGGCGGCCTGAAAATCACGCCAGCAACATTTGCATACATGCCCAAAATCCTGAGAGGAGAAGGGATTGTGGGATGACCAATGCCCCTGGGGAGTGGTCTCTCACTTTCCCTCTCTGTCTTTCTCTCTGGCAAGCCCATGCACACTACAGGAAAAAAAAAAAAAATCAAACAAGGTTCAACACTTGGCTCCTTCATAAAGTCTTCCCTTATCCATCACCCCATTTACTTAACTGCTCCTTTAGTGAGCACCCTGAGTGTCTATATATTCAACTGGCCTTCGACGCCACTGCACAAAGACACACTCTTTGCACCCGTTGGCAGATGCTAGACAAAAGCACTCTTTGATGTTTTCTGTATAGATTACAGAAACCCAGTCTGGATGCCTAGCTCTAAGCAGCTGGCCACCATCTCACTAAAAGCAGCTTCCTGGTAGGAAAAGTGACGGCTGTGTGTAGTTACTGGCCATTTTGAATCAATCCTTTTAATGAAACAAATCTCACTCATCTCATTAGAAACAGAACACCAGATAATGGAGGGATGATGGATACCTCAAGAGACAAACAAGGGTTAGAGAAACCAGATTCCTTTGTGAATGTCAAGAACAGAGGTGAGTCTCATTTCTTTAAAAGCAAAGAGAAGTATATGAAATAAAGAGGTAGGTATGGATTGCGTGGACCAAACCCTGGAAAACATAGGGACCACAGACTTCAGCGGTCTTGGAGATCCACCTCAGGATTTAGTGAGAGGTCTCTCCTTGGCCAGTCACTTGCCAAACCATTTTAGCAGCAGCCTTCCTCAAGGAAAACCATTCATCCTTATCTGCTTCTGGTGCCCATGCCTAAAGCAAAACCAGGCTTTCCAAGGCGTCTCTCTTGTCTAAGATAGCAAAGAGGTGTGCCGAGTTTCAAGCCAGTCTAGTCACTGACCTGCAGCCTGAGGGGGATGCTGAACTGTGGCCCTTTTCCGAGGTGTCAGGGCTGGCTGGATTGGAAGGATTCCTGGGTTTGGCTGAGTCTGCCCAGCTTTAGGTCTCTGCCGGGGTGCAATTGAAGTCTCTGTGGTGGGAATGGGATCTGTCAGTCTAGAAAAAGAAAAGGAAAAAAAAAAAATCAGACTCACAATACAGTGTGGGAAGAAAGAGAAGAGGCAGATAGAGCACAAATGTTTCCCTTCAACATTTATCCAAACTTTTCAGATTTGGTTCACTGATATTTACCCAGGGGTGGTCCACACGATGTTACTGTTACTATATGCTCTAAATGTTCTGCAGAAAAGTTTGGTCAGCAAATAAACTTGTTTCTGTGTTTTGTTTTTTTAAATTTGCCATATGGTGTGTGTACTCACTGGAGATTGAGTGAGTGAGAGAGCGAGAGAGAAGGGGAGGAAGTGAGAAAGCACTCCCCAGCGGGAATGGCCACACCACCTCCATTCTCCTCCTGGGATTTTGGGTAAACACACACATGCCTGGTATGATTTTCAAGCTTCAGAGTCTAGGACTAGAACCTCCATGCCACCAGCTGACCCACAAATAAGTTGATCAAAATATAATGAGTGTGGGACCAGCAGTTAGTGTAATGGTTATGTCACTGAACTCCCATGTAGTGGACCGCGGTTCGAGTCCTGAACCCAGTGGATTAAACTCACACTGGGCGCGTGTGTGCATATAGGCCAACTCTATGGTTCAAGTCCCAGACCCAGTAGCTTGAATATCACGCTGGATGTGTGTGCATGTGTGTCCAAAATCCTGAGAGGAGAATGGAAAAGAAGGAACTGTGATATGGCCATCCCCTACCCCCCCGGGGGTGATTTCTCAGTTTTTCTTTGTCTCTCTCGAGCAAGCCCATGTCTCAATCTTCTCCTGACAGGAACACATCTTAGAAACAACGGGAAAAGCAAACTAACAGCAAACAAACAAAACATAATGAGTTAGTTTCATTCCAGAGATTTTTTCATGTGTAAATATAGCTAGAGAAACTAAAATATCAATAGAAAGGTATACAGGCTGGAATGTTTTTCAAGCTTATTTGATCTTGGGACCCATTAACCATCCTTCTAGGATTTCCCTTTGGGCAATGATGCAAAGAGGAGTTTGAGACAGGAGGTTTTCAGATATACAGGGAACTCAAACTTGGCTAGAATGAGGAGTCTCTCTATAGCGAAAAGCACGGAAATGAGTGAAGTCAACACGGCAACTAGAAGGAGTAAGTAAATAAATGAAAACAAAGGATTTAAAGCTGCAGAGTGTGACAAGAACTCTATTTCCTCTAACACACATACTCCCTTTCCTCCATAGTAATAACATTATCAGCTGAGCATAAGGTCACCCAGAGTAAAAATTACTCTGCCTAGCCACTTCTGCAACCAATCCTACCACGTGTCTGAGTTTTGATCTTTTATAGGATATAAACAGATCGTTAAGTGGCCGTTTCTTGAAGCCTCAAGAAATAACTGGTACATATCCTTTGTGTCTTGTCTTCTTTGGCCAGTCTTTGATCCTGTTGCTCAGAACGGAAATGCTGCCATATTCATTCGTGAGGTTCATGGCTACACTGTGCAAATGGTAGAGTGATAAACTTGAAGAAGCCTGGGTTCCTAAAGGCTTCACAGAGCAGAACTGCTATACTAGCCCTGGATCACTTACCTCTAGATGGACTTTGTTTACTTGAATGAAAAAAAAAATCCACCTTCTATAATAAGCCTCTGTTATTTTGGACTTCACCTCACATAAGCCAAACCTGACCCCACACAGGACTGCTGCGTGCCTTGCTCCTTGCGATGGTGCCGCAGCCCAGGTGCTAATGTCCATTCATTGATAGCAGTGCAGGCAGCGCAGCTGGCAACTACCTACTTGGCTCAAAGGTCACTGTCCTTTCTAATTTTGGGAGTGTTTACTGAGGTTAAGAACAAAATCAATGAACTGCATGAATACTTGTATTTCCAAATTATGTCTGGCACAGCCTCCGTGAAGTGCATAACAAGGTACAAAGCAACTGGCCCCATGAAAAAACTCCAAGGTATGTCCATCCTGGACCCAGAAGCTTTTCTCTGAAATTCTGCTAGAGGGATGTTCTTGTGCTGGGTGGAAAACTAGAACTACAACAGCTATCACATCTAGGGCGCCTGAATCCTGGGGAAGGGAGGTAGAGAGGAAAATGGGGAATGGGACAGATGTTGGAGAAGGGGAAAAAAGTATTAAAAAAAAAAAAAAGTCAAGGGGAAGGGAGGTGAACAGACTTCTATAAAAACTTACATGTGACAGCCTCTACAGCAATCTTCTCCTGACAGGAACACATCTTAGAAACAACGGGATTTGGAGTCAAAGAAAACTATATTTGCGCTCCACTCCCTACTAACTCACTGTGATAGCAGCCATGTCACTGAACCTCTTTTGGCCTTGGGTTCCACATGTGTAAAAAGGAGAAACATACATATGCCTGCATCCATAAACACAGACACATACATATGCCTACATCGTAAGGCAGATGTGAACAGCAAATGTTATCAGTAACTCTGAAACTGCAGGAACACGGTCACACCTTCAGGTTCCTCTTGTAACGCGAGTTCTCTTGCTCTTCCCGCCACATGCGGTTATTTCCTCTACTGAAGTCTTGTACCCCTCAAAGTCATCCAGGAGGGTTTGAATTAATATCTTCCAAACTCTTGTTCATGTTGGTATTTTGATCTGGTCCCATGAATCATAAGTATTCTTAATAGCATCTACAATGGTAAATCCTTTCCAGAAGGATTTCGATTTATTTTGTCCAGATCTATCAGAAGAATCATTACCTATGACGGTTAAAGCCTTATAAAATGTATCATTCTTTTTTTTTAAAGAGATTTTTTTTTTTTTGCTGTAGGTCATATGCATTCATCAGAGAGACAGAAAGACAGAAAGTGAGAAATCACCCCCCTCAAGGAGGATAGTCACATTGCAATCCCCTCTCCTCCATTCTCTCAAGATTTGGGGCATGCACCCAGCATGAGTTTGAAGCCTCCAGATCCAGGACTCAAATCACAGTCGACAACGTAGGAGTCCAGAGACGTAACCATTACACTATCTGCTGGTGCCATGAAATGTACCTCTTAAATAATACTTGAAAGTTGAACTAACTCCTTGATCCATGGGCTGCACAATGGATGTTATGTTGGCAGGCTTGAAAACAATGTTCATCTCCTTGCACATCTCCAGCAGAGTTCTTAGGTGCCCAGGTATATTGTCAATGAGCAAGTGTATTTTTGAAAGGGATCTTTTTCTAAGCCATGGGTTTAAAATACTCAGTAAGCCACACTCAAAACAGATGTGCTATCAGCCAGGCTTTATTGTTCCAATTCTAGAGTCCAGGTAGAGTGGATTCACCATAATCCTTAAGGTTTCTCATATTTTCAGAATGGTAACTGAGCAGTAGATTCAACTTAAAGTCACCAGCTGCATTAGCCCCTAGAAAAGTCAGCCAGTAGTGACTGGTCCTCTCTTGCTATGAAAGTCCTAGATAGCATCTTCTTGCAACATAAGGCTGTTCTGTCTACCTTAAAAATCTATTTTTCAGTCTAGCCACCTGGATCAATTATCTTAGATCTCCTGGATAATTTTGCTGTAGATTCTACATCAGCACTTTCTACTTCAACTTGCATTTAATATTATGGAGAAATCACCCCCCTCAAGGAGGATAGTCACATTGCAATCCCCTCTCCTCCATTCTCTCAAGATTTGGGGCATGCACCCAGCATGAGTTTGAAGCCTCCAGATCCAGGACTCAAATCACAGTCGACAACGTAGGAGTCCAGAGACGTAACCATTACACTATCTGCTGGTGCCATGAAATGTACCTCTTAAATAATACTTGAAAGTTGAACTAACTCCTTGATCCATGGGCTGCACAATGGATGTTATGTTGGCAGGCTTGAAAACAATGTTCATCTCCTTGCACATCTCCAGCAGAGTTCTTAGGTGCCCAGGTATATTGTCAATGAGCAAGTGTATTTTTGAAAGGGATCTTTTTCTAAGCCATGGGTTTAAAATACTCAGTAAGCCACACTCAAAACAGATGTGCTATCAGCCAGGCTTTATTGTTCCAATTCTAGAGTCCAGGTAGAGTGGATTCACCATAATCCTTAAGGTTTCTCATATTTTCAGAATGGTAACTGAGCAGTAGATTCAACTTAAAGTCACCAGCTGCATTAGCCCCTAGAAAAGTCAGCCAGTAGTGACTGGTCCTCTCTTGCTATGAAAGTCCTAGATAGCATCTTCTTGCAACATAAGGCTGTTCTGTCTACCTTAAAAATCTATTTTTCAGTCTAGCCACCTGGATCAATTATCTTAGATCTCCTGGATAATTTTGCTGTAGATTCTACATCAGCACTTTCTACTTCAACTTGCATTTAATATTATGGAGATGGCTTCTTTCCTTATACCTCTCAGATTTATATGTTTCTCCTGCAGCTTCCTCATCTCTCTCAGTCTTCAAAGCACTGATGGACTTTGCTCTGGATTGTGCTATGGCTTAAGGGAATGTGTGTGTGGTTTGATTTTCTGTCCAGGGCACTAAAACTTTCTGCAGTATCAGCACTAGGGCTGTTTTCCTTTTTTATCGTTCTTAAATTCACCAGAGTAGCACTTTTAATTTCCTTTAAGAACTGTCCCTTTGGGGGCTGGCAGGTGGCATGCTGGTTAAGGCACTGTACTCCCCTATGGCGAATCACTGTTCCAGTCCTGGACCTGGTAGCTTGAAAATCACATCAGGTGTTTGTGTGTGCATACCCAATATCTGAGAGTGGGACTGTGGAGTGGTCATCCCCCTTCGGGGATGATTTTTCACTTTCCCTCTCTCTATCTCTCTCTGGCAAGTGTACACACTCCATGGCAAAAACCTTTATTTAACAAAAAAAAAAAAAAAAAGCACTATCCCTTGGCAGTCACAGCTTGGCTAATTTTTTAACATAAGAAGCCTAGCTTTTGGCCTGTCTTGGCTTTCAACATGTCTGTCTTCCTCACTAAGCTTAATAATTTCCAGCTTTGACTTGTTTATTTTTAAAAATTTTTGTCAGAAGAGAATTGTATTCACCAGAGAAAGAGAGAGAGAGGGTGAAAGAAAAAGCACCTCCCACAGGGAATGGCCAGTCCCTCCTCCTCCATTTCTCCTTCCTTTCAAGATCTTGGGCATGCACACACAACACTTGGCATGTTTTTCACACTCCAGGTCTGAGATTCAAATTGCACAGTGGCCATGTGGGTTCCAGCTTCCTTAACCACCATGCCAAGAGCTGGCTCTCAGATTTGATTTAAAGAGACAGACATCTAACTCTTCACTTGAACGCTTATGAGGCCCCTGTAGGGTTACTAACTGACCTAACTTCAACATTGTTGTGCCCCAGTGACTCCCTAATAGAACTGGCCTGAAGGCGAAATGTGGAGATGGCTAGTTGGCGGAGCAGTTAGAACTCACACATTCACCAACAAAGTCTGCTATTTTATGGCTGCAATTTATGGAGCCCCAAAACAATTAAAACAGTAACACTGAAGAAGACTAATCAGTGATCACTATAAGATACAATAGTAATTTTTTAAAATGTTGAAATATTGCAAGAATTATTAAAATGTGATGCAGAGCTACAACTAAACATATGTTGGAAAAAAATGGCACCAATAGACTAGGTAGGTGGGGCTGCCACATACCTTCAGTATGTAACAAATACATTAGATGTGAAGCACAATAAAGTGAAGTGTGATGAAATGAAGCGTGCCTGTATTTTACAGCTACATCTGGAATAACTATGCACAGAGCAGGTATTCTATAAATATTTAAGAATTTTTTTTTAAATACAGAAATTATCTTACTGTTCTACTAAAATTCAGATATCCCTTTCTAGAGTACTGTGTCGACAGTTTGTTGTAAACATTTCCTTGCCATTGCGGAGTGGTAGAGAAAAGAGGGGTATAATCATCTCCGGGGCTCCCCCCAGAATTTGGGGTATAAAAGACCAGTGCCTTCGAGCTGGACAATGATGCAGAGGTAAAACAATACCCTGTGAAGCAGACTCACACAGGAAGGCTGTGAAGGTCTCACACAGGTTTGAGACCTCCCTGAGTACCCCGAGCACACAAGTGCCCATGATCTGGGCTGGCTGAAGCTGGGGAGTGGATCATGGTGCTGTATGTCTGGTTGTCTATCTGTCTCATGCAATAAATAAACTTTAAAAAAAAAAAAAGTCCCATCTGTTTTACTCCTAAAATCTACTGCAGTGTGCCCTGAGGCCATGCTTCCCATGGCTGGTTCCAGTTCTAATGTCCTAGTCACAGGATTCCTGGGAGATAGGGGACTCCTCTATGGCTGACTTTGGGACAAGGATTCTTGGGACTATGATGGGCCTTCCTCACATTGCATGGCAATCTAGGCCATTCCTATGCATCTTTCTCTTCCCTTTCTATAGGTAGGATCTATGCCGCCTTCTATCAGCTCTCCCAGATTTTCTTGCCCCTCCCTCCCCGTTTTCTCACACATGGGCAGTTCCCAAAAACATTTTTGCTTGCTTAAGCTTCTCCTGCTATCTGCTTTTAGGAAGACCCTAGGTTGTACAAAATGTATTAGTTAAAACCCACAGGGTCTCTTGCTATTTATGGACTCAGCGCTTTGACTTGCACATTTCTATTTGGGCAGAGGCCACAGAAAGTAAGCAGGAGAGGGAAGTGGAAGATTAGGGTGCTGAATGAGGCTAACCAGAATCCAGGACACACGTTTAAGACACTCTTATTCCAGCAGCATTTCAAGTCTGCTGTTGCCTCATCTCTGAATGCCCCTGTTCATATTTCCATGCAAAGGAAACAGCTGTAGGGTTCTTGACTCTCTTGCACATGGAGAACACAGTACAGTATTTCATTATATTCATCTTTGCATTCCCAAAGAACAGTTTCTGCCTAAGGGAGACAGAGCTTGCTTTCCTGATCTGCACAGTCTCTGCTCATGGCAGCGTAAGAATCGAGAAACACAGGGTGTCCTCCCTGCTGCTGTGGCAAGGACATGAGCTGCTTAGGACGTGCTCATGAAGGCATCTCTTACCTGGCCTTTGGCTGGGTCTTTTTTGCAGCTGCCTCACTGGCTTTCACTGGTTCAGGAAGCTTTGCAGGAATGGGAGAGTTCTATACAATTGAAAGGAGAGAAAAAGAAGAATATCACAGATTCCTTTATAAAAGAATTACTGGATTGACTGGAAGTGGAGTCTTCTGGAGCAATTTCCAAGCCCTGATTTCTCATAGAGGGAAGAGAAATTAACCAAATATATTTCAGACTTAGCCACAGTCAGGGACGCTAAGTATGAGACGAGGAGAGAGCAGTCTGTGTGCAGCACTCTCCCTGGTCTTTCTCCAACTTCTGTACCAGGCTAAGCTTGCAGGGTGTGATTCAAGTACCCTTCTCCTATAACACAGCTTACAAGTGGTACTATGAAAGGAATGGCTAAGAGTTATATGTAACCTACATTATAAATGTAGCTCCCAGCTAGGTCTTAGAAAAGTTACAGCTGACTGGGGTGCCCACCATGCTATACTCAAATCTTCCTATTAGAATGCTGGGAGAAAACCACAGCCACCCAACATGTATGGGTGCTGAGCCAGCACTCCCAACATGCGAGGCACTACTCAACCCACAGGCCAAGCAGAGTGCCTCTCCTCGGATTCGACCACCCATCAAGGCTCACCTCCGGGGACTCAGCTAGCTGTCCCTACCCACAAAACAACTGCTTACCACTACTAAGCAAGCAGCAAATGACATGCACTGTGTGTGGTTTACTTCTTAAAACTAGTTACCGGTCTGAATTGTACATTACTTAATTTTAAGAATGGAAAAGTGGGACTACAAAGGAAAATACGGTCATGGTAAACTACCATGAATCCTTCGTTTCAATCTGGGAAACCTGATGAAAAGAACAGACATTCCTCAGCAACCGTAAGGGCTGGTTCCAGGGCTCCCTGTGGATATTGAAATCCAGGATACTCAAATCCCTTGTATAAAATGATGTACTATTTCCATATAATCTATGTACATCCTCCTGTACATTCTCGATCATCTGTACATTATTTATAATACTTAGCACAGTGTAACTGTTTTGTAAATAACTGTTACATGCACTGTGTAGAGAATAGTGACATGAAAAAACCTATACGTGTTCATTACGGACTCAATCAGATCCCCCCCCCCAAATATTTTTGGTCCATGGATTGTTGAATCTGTGAATGTGGAACCCACAGGGTGTGAAGGGCTGATTATATACTAATTCTAAAACTAGATGTTTAAAAGGAGCTCTCATTTTTTCACGATTCCAGATGGAGAATTTTTCTCTCCACCACCCTTCAAGCATTCTTCACCCAAGGGAGAAGAGTAACTTACTTGACTGATAAGACTAAAAGGAACAAGTGAGCTCCTCTGATTCTCTGTTGCTCTCTCACTTTTTAAAAAAATTTTTATATTATTTCAAGTATTTTTATACATTCAATCACGTTATTTAGCTTGCAAAGTGAACTATTCCAAAATGTGTACATTTCTCCCCAATCCGGTTGGTAATATTATAAAGTTATCTTCAACAGATTATACCCCATTTCTTTGTCCCGTTAATGCTTTGCCTCTCTCACTTTTATGGAAGGGTCTATATCTCGGGAATCAGACATTTGCATCTTCTTAGTCACATGAATCTAACACTAGGGAGGCTGGTTGGTCAAACATGTCCTTTGACTCAACCTTATTAGCAATAAAACCAATATCCTGAGCTCTATCTGAACGAGTCTCACACTGGATTTTAAATGTGGGAATGAAGGACAAGTATTACTCAACAGTACTCTCAAGCCCCAGTGGCAACTTCAAAACTTCACTACCAAGGCTAGCCCCATGGCCTGATGGTTAAGTAGAATCCCACATGGCTGACAACATTGTTCAAATCCCAGCCCTGGTGGCTTGAAAAATTTGTCTCTGTGTGTGTGTGTGTGTGTGTGTGTGTGTGTATACCCAAAATACCAATAGGGTAGATAAATGGAGGTGGGATTGTGACATGACCACATCCCATTGAGAGGTGTTTTCTCATGCTCCTTCTCTGTCTCTGCTGAGCAAACATGCCCTCTGGCAAATCTGAAAAAAAAATTATAAGTTTACCACTGGAGAAACTAGCAAGAAAATTTCACATTAGAATATACTTATTACAGCACCCATTAGCAAAATATTCAAGAGGATTGGATCATAACATTGACATGGAAACTCTGCCAAGACTGTAAAAAGGGTGTTTGTAAGCACTTTACTCTGAAAACTGTGAGTGGAAAGTTTAAGACTGCTGAGTACAGAAAACAGTCTCATGGTTTGATGTGCGTGCGAAGGGTAGAGAAAAAGGAACGTAAATTATGGATGGCCAACAGCACAGGGAAAACCAAAAAAGCTCTGCTTCAAGGAGGGAGAAGAGAGACAAGGGACCTCAATTCCAACGGCATGGGAGAAAGTCCAGGGCCTCAGCCCAGGAATGCAGCCTGCCTAGTCACCTCTACATAAATGCAACATTGTGCATGTGGCTCTCAGTGATCTGTGAACATTAACAAGAAATAAAGTTGGTCAATCTTCACCCGAAGTATTCAACTCAATCCCTAGGGCCTTTTATTTTTTATTCAATAATTGTCTCCATTTTATAATTAAATTCCATGGGAAAATTAAATTCTCTCTATAGCCACTGCTTCACAGTTAGGTTTGCTTGAATGCACCACAGTAAATAAAAGCAAGAAACATCTATATTCATTTGAACCATTGATTAGCACCCCAGGAATCTGAAATTATAATCTGATCATGTACATTTCTCTTATAAAGCACCACTCACATACCTGTACATTTGGAATTGGGCATTCTTTCTTGAGTAGTTTAAATGAGAAGTAGGAGACCTGGTAAATATCTGGCCTTTTGTCAGGGTCTGGTTCCAACATATACCCTAAGATAAACACATGTGAATTTACTTAATGATATCCTAACAATTATTACATTAGCTAGGAAACACACATTTTCTCTACTATCAAAGTTTTGTTGTTTTTTAACTTTTTATTTCTCATAAAAATCAGATAGTACAATAGACTTTGCCTCCCCTCTCAGGAAGGGAAATTCTAAACTTTCTTAAACTATTTAATATCAACAAAAAAGTAAAGTATTTGCATTGTAACGAAGATACTCAAAGTTCATACGCTACGCTTTGTACGAGAGGGGCTAAAGCACTCCATACGAAACTTACTGCCTTCATATCCCAGTACCTGGGAGGTTACAAGGCTCTTGCTTCTGAATTCTTTGGTTCATACTACCTTACTACTTATAACCAAGAAACAAACTTCATGGATTTCCTTTTGTTGTAGATAAGCTGGTTTCCAGTTTAAAACAAGTTAAAAAGCAATATATGCATACCTATTTTCAACATGATCTATGTGATCACCCATCTATTTCCAAGTCCTTTAGATTTCTAACCTTTCTAAAGCTAGGGAAATCCTTAGGAGAAAACAAATCTTTGGGAAGATGCACAAACATACATGTGTATGTACAAACACCACCACAAGGCCATTTATTGCTGAAATAACAAAATGAATCATTTGGACACCATGTTCAGAAAGGATCAGTGAGGCTGTAGCCTTATGAAGACCCTGCAGAAGAAGCAAGTCTTGAGCAGGTCCCTAAAGACAGAGTAGAATTTAGTCAGTCAGTTTGAAAGTAGGAAAAAAAAAAAAAAAGATATTCCAGGCTGAGAGAATCATCTGAGAAAAGAGGCCTTGGAGAAAGGCAAGAGAATGCCCTGCTGCAAGGAAAGAAAGGGGCCAGAGGAGGGAGCAGAGAGAAGGCTGGGTGGCAGGGATGGAATCAGAATATGAAGGATCATAAATGCCACACTAAGAGTCTGGGCCCTACTGTGGGAGCACTGGCAAGCTGCTGAAGTTTACTGAACAGGGACATGAGAAGGTGACATTTTGTAAGATTTATCTTGTAGTGAAGATGTATCTTGTGGTGAGGGTGTGTGGAGAGAGTGAAGAGAAAGGAGAGGGGATGGTGGTCAATCTATAGCTACAGGCATGAGTAGCCAGAGTCTGTATATGCTATGGTCCCACTGATGAGAACTGAGAAAATGCAATGAAAAAATGTAGAAAATACAAAACATTTAAAAAAGGATTAATGTGGTAAAATAACGAATTCTTCCTTCTCTCTTGCTAGCCAGGTCAAAAAGAAACCTTACATTTCATTCACTCAGGAGCCAGAAGGTAGTGCAGTGGCTACCACACGGAACTCCTATGTGGCTGGCTATGGTTGGAGTCCCTGATCTGGTGACTTGAAACTCATACCAGGCGCACGTGTGCATGTGCCTGAAATCCCAGGAGAACAGAGGAGAAGGGACTGCAGCACGGACATCTCCTCTTTAAAGGTGATTTCTCACTGTCCCTCTCACTGTCTGTCTCTTTCCTTCCCAGTGAGCACACATATCCTATGGCAAAAATCTTAAGAAAAAAAAAATTCATTCATCCAGGTCGAACTGTGATAACAACTGACGGAAGTGAAAAAAAGGAGACAGGGCACCTTACAAGTATATTGGGAGTAATGGAACATGGGGTAATGGTAATCAATTTAATTTTAGATCTCTGAGTTTAGGGTGACAGTGGAATCTTCAAATAGTTTGCAAACCAAAAGAGTTTGGGAAAGATGTCAGGGGTACAGACAATTATAAAGAACTGTTTTCCTCAGAAAGGATTTGCTGTGCAAATGTTAAAAATAAAAAAAAATTATTACCAAAAATTCTACTAATTTCACCTATGGCTATCTCCCCATATTTCTCTCAAATCTTATTTATATAGCTGTATTAATACCGGGAACAGAAGACGGCGTAGCGGCTACGTTGTTTGACTTCCACATGGCTGACCCTGGTTCAAGTCCCAGACCCGGTGGCTTCAAAATCACTCTGGGCTCATGTGCATGCATGCCCAAGATCCCAGGAGGAAAATGGAGAAAGGACTGGGGTGTGGTCGCCCCACTGAGGGGTGATTTCTCACTTTCCCTCTCACTGTCTGTCTTTCTCTCTTTCTCTCTGGCAAATGCACATGCCCTAAAGGCAAAAACCTCTAAAAAAAATTACATATATATGTATATGTATATATAGAAAATACTTTACTTCTGAAAGTAATCTAACAATCATTAAATGACATATTCCATTTCTTTAAATAATCCCCTTTTTTGCTAACAAATGAAAGAGGCTGATTACGAAAATTGGCATAATGCAATGGGTAATTACTTAAAAACTGTAACTATGTTAACTCGGGTAAGTTACTTATACTTTCTCTGCTTCGGTTTTCTCATCTGCATAACAGGGATAACTATACATAATACATAAAGGGCTTTAAGAATTAACCAGACCCGGTGGCTTCAAAATCACTCTGGGCTCATGTGCATGCATGCCCAAGATCCCAGGAGGAAAATGGAGAAAGGACTGGGGTGTGGTCGCCCCACTGAGGGGTGATTTCTCACTTTCCCTCTCACTGTCTGTCTTTCTCTCTTTCTCTCTGGCAAATGCACATGCCCTAAAGGCAAAAACCTCTAAAAAAAATTACATATATATGTATATGTATATATAGAAAATACTTTACTTCTGAAAGTAATCTAACAATCATTAAATGACATATTCCATTTCTTTAAATAATCCCCTTTTTTGCTAACAAATGAAAGAGGCTGATTACGAAAATTGGCATAATGCAATGGGTAATTACTTAAAAACTGTAACTATGTTAACTCGGGTAAGTTACTTATACTTTCTCTGCTTCGGTTTTCTCATCTGCATAACAGGGATAACTATACATAATACATAAAGGGCTTTAAGAATTAAATGAGGAAGCTGGGACCATGGCATAGCAGTTGAGGAGCCAGATCCCACATGGTTGACTGTAGTTCATTTCCTGGCCCCTTGTCAGGATTTTGGGTGTGTGACAAATGCTGATAGGAAGGAGAAAGGAAAGAAAAGAGACTGTGACATGACCACGTCCCACTAGGTGGTGCTTGCTTTCTCTCTCTCTCTCTCTCCACTGAGCACACACTTCCTCTGGCAATTAAAAAAAAAAAAACAAACTAAACAAGGTATAAGTAGGCCCTCCCAAATGTCAGATGCTCTGTCCCCCACATCTGAGGCTTGTAACATTTTTTTCCAGTGTATTTCCACTCAGGATCCAAACCAGGATGCTTAGGATTTATAATTTGTAATGGTTAAAATGTAGACACTAAATGTCTGGACCAATGTTAAAAGATGATAAAAATCTGTTTCTTCAGCCTTTTAAGGTAGGGCCATGTGCGAAGATGACTTATTCGACTATTTGGTTAAAGAACATTAGTACATACTCATGCTATGATGATACAGAACAGTGGGGAATCTTAAGACTATTTTAAATATAGCACTGAGTTTAGATGCTTGTTATCAAAATCCAGTGATTAACCTAAATAATAGGAAGAACCTTGTTCCATGGAGTTATATAGTCTTAATTATGTATTCACTCCAGCCCAATGCACTGCAATCATTTTCATTTGAGTTGCTTCCAGTTTTGCAAAGATGAATTTCTTATCACTTGATATGAGTCAGCTGGTTCCTTTGGTAGCAGAGCTTTTACACAGACTGCAACAGAACACAGCAGTACTATTCTGCTCAGAGCACAGCACGGATCTCTGCTTGGGAGGTTGGCTCAGGTGTGAAACAGTTTAGATCTCTAGGAAAAAGACCCACCACTCTAACTAGACAATGCTACATTGTCTTTAAGTTCCTAACCATTATCAACAAACTTCTTTACTTTTGCATCTAACCCATTACTCCTGGAATCCAATTCCTTTATCTTCTAGATAATTTCTGGTAATTAGAGATAAGAATAGGAAACTAGAAATTTGAAATACTTACTAATTAGGCAGTGCATGTCTTGAGAATATCGAGAGTTATCAGGAATTGTGAAGTTTCCATCACAAATTGCCACCTGACTCTCCCCAAATGGCAAAGTGAAGTAGCATAATTTATATAATAAACATCCAAGAGCCTTTAAAAAAAAAAAAAGACAGATAACAGATTGCACCCAGTGATTTATGTACCATAATTGCAAATGAGAGATATGGACATCAACCACATTTACTGAGATATAAAAAAACAAATAATATTAATCCATTGGAAATCTGAATTTAGAACCCAATGCCACTATTTAGTAACTGAGATACATTATTTCTATCATTATTACCAAATGGTGCTCCAGTAGGGAACAAGTGTTTCATTTGTTTGATTCTTAAGAACTAGCAACATATATGTGAAAAACACCTGAGTGATTTCCACAGATCTCGAAAGTAATTTTCTTTGTCATGCTTCGAAAAGCAGCGGCAGTCCCTTCACACCCAGAACACCCTGAGGAGTAAGTAGCCACCATGCTACACCACGGTCTGCATTACACTTGGGAGCCGACGGTCAGGACTGCTGATACCTGAGGGGCAGACGGTTCATTGGCACCTACCCAAATGTCTGCCTTCGTAGTGATGATTTTGCCACTGTACAAGTTGACCATTTCTGGTGCTCGATAGGACAGAGTTGTGTATCTATAATCAAGAGATACATGTTTTTGGTTAAACATGTAAATGCTATCATTCAAAACCAGGAGCAGCAGAAATACTTTTTAAAAAATAAATAGAATCCAATTCTTAGGAAAATCTGCAGAAGTTTAAAATATTAGTGCCATGAAATGAGATGCGGTCCTTCGCACGAGTATGTCATCACACCATGGCCCTCTAGCAGCAATCCTTCCCTCCGAACACGTGGGGACCCAGACACTAATGCACTAAATAAACTCTGAAAGCAACTTTCCTTGGGCCCTCAAATGATCAAATCTCCTCCTGGCTGTCTGATACCATATTGTGCTGATTTGTTTTTAAAAACAGTAAACCCAGGACCAGCAGATCGCGTAATGGTTATATCACTGAACTCTCAAGTAGTCCACTGCAGTTTGAGTCCCAGACTCAGCAGCTTAAACACAGCATGCATGAGTGCACGCATGCCCAAAATCCCAAGAGGAGAATGGAGGAGAAGGGATTGTGGCAATACCCTTTCCCTGGGGGGGGGGGAGTGATTTCTCACTTTCTGTCTCTCTGGCAAGTACACGTGCCCTATAGCAAAAATCTCTCTCTTAAAACAAACAAACAACACAGTAAATCCTTTAACTGTGACTTAACATGAAGATGAAATATTTGGCTGGGACACTGCAGAACAGTGGAAAATAGGCCCTGGCTGTGACTGGGGCTGGATGGGACAAAGAACCCTTGATCCATGCTCCTGGAACATGGCTGAGACGCAGTTTTTCTCTTATCTATGGCTCAAAAAAAGAGTGGTGTAAGCACATCCTCAAAGGGAGTGCCTTGGTGTTACCAAGCCCGAGATTTGTGCTGTTCAGTTTCTAGAGTACAGCTGGGACTTGCTGAGGCATCTGCCAGGGCCTTGGACCAGAGTCTTCTTGCCCCCAGCTCGGCTGGGGTAATGCATGAAAGCAGAGATAGGACCAGGATATAAGCGTGCAGGTGAGACCACTGGTTTATTAGCACTAAGAGTGAGTGCTGTTGCCTGTGAAAAATCCAGCATCATGGGCATGAGGGGAAAATGGGTCAGGCTCTTACTGGAGTGACAAATCTAAAAAAGCTTTTTCTTGCGGAAGTCAATGATTCATTATCTGCAAAGACTTCAATAACCCTACTCACCATTAATTCCACTAGACCACAGGTGAGCTCCTTATGTGCAGGAAGGAAGCAGCAAATTAGGTTTCAGTAAAAAGCACATCTATCTGAAAATGTAATGACTGTTGTAATCACACCTTAAAAGTCACTACTTTTATGGTGTGTGTAGCACTTAGGTTTTTAAGGGCTTTGTGACACCATAAATCAAAATAGGTATGTAAAATGGTCATAGGACATTGAAAAACTGCTATGAGATTCAGGCCAGCAGGTGATGTGGTAGTTAAGGCACTGGATCCCACACGGCCACCTCTGTGGTTCGAGTCCCAGATCTGGTTGCTTGAAAAACATGTCAGCTTTGTGTGTGTGCACGCCCATGATCATGAAAGAAAAAATGGAGACGGGATCAAAGCATGGCCATCTCCCCTAGAGAGTGATTTCTCACTTTCCTTTTCTCTCTGTCTTTCTGTGGCAAGCACACACACCTTATAGCAAAATAAAATAAAAAATAAAATAAAATAAAATAAACATTTAATAAAAAAAAGCTATGAAATTCCTCCATCTTAATGTATGGATCAATGTTTGTGACTCTACTACTCCCATACTTCTCTAAAAGGCAAACAGACCAACTGTGAACATGACGCTCTAAGACGAAGGACAACCGACTATTGATAGGACCAGGACCACTCTCCCCCTACCCTGAACTTCTCACCCATAAGCTGAAAGTGAAGTTGCACACTGATAATGACAAAACTCCAAGACAAGACGTAAAGCTTACTTCTTAATCTCATCTTCTACTGCATTGACTCCCTCAGTTTGTGGGTTCTGGAACTTGTTGGTGGCACTTCCAAAGTCGCACAGGACATAGTGGCCTCGGTCATGCAAGAGGATATTTTCAACCTGAAAAACATTCCCCAACCACCCGTCCCAACATATTATTGCAACACATGTGAAAATTGGCTTCATGGTCACATATATTAAATGTTTGATTTCCGGGGTTGGCAGGTGGCATGGTGGTGATTAAAGGTGCTGGACTCCCATATGGCTGACTGAGGTTCAAGTCCTGGACCTGGCATCTTGGTCTTTCTCTCTCTCTTTTCTTTCTCTCTGTATTTGGTCAAAATTGAAAAATAATGATAATGAATAAATATTTTTTAAAAAGTTTGATTTCTGGCAATCTCATTAATGTGTGTAGGAAAGTTACTCCCTTCTAAGGGTCTCAACAGTGGTCACCACAAGTAGATGCACAGTAATGGAGTGAAATGAGGGCAGACAAGGCAAGAGGAGGAAACTTCACAGCAGGGAAATCAATCGTTTTTCTAGATTTCCAGCTACCTTCCTCACCTCAGCAGAAATGGTCTCACACCTTCCAGCTTCTGTACCTTCCTGCAGTTTAGGATACACTTCGTGATCCCCACCTCCTTATCCAATTATCAAAATCCCACTCGGCTTTTAAAGCCCAGTTCAAATGCCACCTCCCTTCCAAAGCCTTCCTCAGGCTCCCACTCAGACAAATGCCACTCCTTCCCTTCAGTATTTTGTTCCTCCATCAAGCAGATGACTTCACTTGGACCTCAAAAGTACATATATCAATGTTTTCTATGACATGAGGTCAGGATTTTCAGGATTAACATATTTTATATTTTTAGTTCCTTCTCAAAGTGATAAAATGCCTGAGGAGAAGTGGACAGTTTCCCATTTAAAGTATTGCCCTAATTTTTCAAATAAATGAATTCATTGGGCTTGTGAGTTAGGAGTTTTAGGTAATAGGAAGCTTACAAAGACCAAAGCTTAGAGAAATCCCTGGTATCAAAGGACTCTGTCAATAAAATGGCAACTCCAAAATAGCAGGCACGATGCCCTCAAGAGCACTGATTAGTTTTTGGTGTGGGTGAACTGAGCTGACTAGCGTGCTGGAGGACAGACCTGGTTATGTGTGGGTAGTAAAATGGCAGCTAAAAATTCCTGTTGGGCCAATAAGACTGTAGTCTCCATTGTCTTTTGTCTTTGGCCTTCCAAAGACTGACCACCTTTGGAAAACTAAGGTAAGAGTAGACTATAAGCTCCTTAAAGACCAGCATCATCTCTTAATCGTATTTGTAGTGTTTTCAACCCAGTGCCTAACAAAGTTCTTAGGATGGAAAATGTTTTTTTGAATGGAATAAACAACAACAACAAAAAACAAAACAAAAAACAGAAACACACGGAATAGTGTGTGCACATGTGCATGTACACCTGTCTGACAGAAATGAAATAGGAGCTACCAAATACCCAGGGTCTACTACTACTACTGATCCTTTTTAAAAAGTCTGGTCTGGGGAACCAGCAGTTAGCGTAATGGCTATGTCGCTGGACTCCCACGTAGTCGACTGCGGTTCGTGTCCCGGACCCGGTGGCTTAAAACTCACGCCGGGCGCGTGTGCGTGCGTGCCCAAGATCCCGAGAGGAGAATGGAGGAGAAGGGATTGCGGCGTGACCATCCTCCCTGGGGGGTGATTTCTCGCTTTCTGTCTCTAATGTCTCTCTCTGTCTGTCTGGCTAGCACACGCACCCTATAGTGAAAATCTCTCCAAAAAAAAAAAAAGGGGGAAAAAAAAAGTCTGGTCTGGTCAGTTATGAAAATCTTCTGTTCAAATACTTGTTTCTATACTTTCTGATAACTCTTCTAAAAAGTATGTTAAACATAATTTTCAATCTCTATCTGCTAACCCAGTATCTTAAGTCTTTGCCTCAAGCTGATTCTGCATATTATTTCTTACCTACTGAACCAGTCATGGCATGGTTGCTGGGAGGGGCTTTGTGGTTGCTGTCAACTCATGTCCTTGGAACATTGTTTGTGGGAAGTCTTTGAGACCCGGGTTTAAAGTCCGTAGTTTTCCAGAGAGGATATGCTGGTGTGTATGGGGGAACTACTACTCTGGAATCACATTAATCTAAAATTTTGATTTTGGGATTTTCAGCCATGCAGGCAATGTGAATGATGGCCATCAACCTACACAGGTATGTTCTTATGACTAAGAATCCTTAATCACAGAATTACAAATTAAGAATGATTTGCCAAGATCTGTTCCCTTGAGATAAGGCTGAGGGAGGCAATTATTTCCACCATCTATGGCTTTTTACAAAGTTCATCATTTCACTCTATTTACGTAGAGTCAAACAGTCAAGCTATCCTAAGCACATACTAACTTTAGAAACCTAAAGTAATTCCAACAAAACAACACTAATTCACATTTTTTAATGTAATTTAGAGGTTATGAAAGTAACTATTGCCAGTACTACTGCACTCATCACTTAACATGGACTATCTTACTAAATCCTCATAACAACAATATTATTATCCCCACCTTATGGATGGAGAAGGTGAGGCTCAGAATGATAAGCTCATTTGTTAAAGGTCACACAGCGAATAGGTGGAAGAGCCAGGAGGCGAATAAGCTATCTAACTCTGGAAGTGGACAGCAATACATTCTACCATGGCAGGAAGCAGAGCAATTACTCAAGGCCCCTGTTCCCACCCTGCAGCTAAGTAAGAGATGACGATGACTTTATACTTGCTCGGTGCATGGAAGCATCAGGACATGGCTCTCTTAGTGCTTCATTTTTCACAAGTGTCCCTTTAATAGAAATCTAGTCTATTCCAGAGGAAGCAAGTGTCTAAACACTAAACATACTGATTTATTCAATATCTCCTAAGCATTCCTTAGACCACCTAATGTGTCCTTTTAGTCATCTGTTCACACTCTACTAACCAAAACCAAGCTATTATTCAAGACCTGGCTCAAGCTGTAACTTCTCAGTAAAACCTTCCATGACTACCCTATAAATGCTACACATACTGTTGTGGGAGGTGTTGGTGGAGGCCTTCTGGCCATTAAAAGTCACATCCGTTGGTTATTATCCTACAGTCTATGCCTGCTTTAGAGTCCCAACAGCTGGGTGGAGCGGATGCAAAAGAAACTGTATGGCTGGCAACCCCAAATATTTACTATTTAGCCCTTTGTAGAAAAAGTTTGCTAATCTTTGATCTCTAGCAATTATTGATAATCACTTAGAATTCTGCAATAGTTTTTCTACTAGAGGTTGATATTTAACTTCTTATATGTTTATCCTTGCCTCCCCAAATAGAGGATAGGACACTGTATTACACCTACACATCCTCCACAAATTGAGTCAGGTACTGAACACACACCCAGGGCCTTAAATGTTGTTGATGAAATCTGTTATTTTTGCACCGTTCAACAACGATCTTCCTGTCTGATCTATGCACCTCACAGGGCACGTGTGAAACTGTGCTTCTCCCTGAGGTGAGCACTTCCTTTCTGGATCCCTCTTTATGCTTCTAATGCTGGAACATACACCTGAAAACTGAAAAGTTAACTCATATCAAAACTCAAACAAGGTAGGGACCAAAATCACTGCTAGAGGAGGGAGGAGTAAGTAAACAGGATGAAAAAAAGCGAGGCACATACTTTGGCCTGACTGAACCGTATCCTTCCTCTGGCTACTTGGCAAGTTTTCTGGGAGGATCAAATGAGATTACGAAGGTATAATTGCTTGGTGGCTGCGTTCTCTACCACCTCTCAGTGTGTCCCTATGTCTTGTAAATCGCTACTACCACCACTACCAACAAAACACTTAACACAAAGCATGGTGTGTGGCAACAACACTGGATTGAGACTATTTCTGAATCTGACCTTGGCCAAAATTTTAAGCCTCTTTTGGCTTCCCATCTGCAAAGTGAGGCTGGTAGTATTTCCATCACTGTTGGTACAAAGACAAGTAAGGGAATGTACGTAAAAGCAAACTGTAGATCTTCCTACATAAACGAAAGGTGTTATTACCATTCATGGATGAAAGAAACATGTTTGAATTCCCACTGCATGCCAAGTATATCTCTGGGTTCTAGGGATAAGGATGTGAACAAAACAGTTTGTCTTCTTATGGAGCTTAGAGTCCAATTGGAGATAATAAAACAATTCTAATTGCCTGGTAGTGATAAATGCTATGAAAAAAAACCCAGCAGGTTACATATAGGTATGGTGAAGAGGGATGCTACCTTAAATAGCACAGTCAAGGAACAACTGAGATGAAGGAGAAGCCATGCACCTTCTGGAAAAGAGCACCCCAAGCAGAAAACCACCAACACAATGGCTCTGAGACAGCAGTGCACTGGAAGTGTCTGAGGCCAGAGGCAGGCCTCTGTAACTAGACTGGCACTGTGCCTGGCACTGGAACTACAAAGAACCCTGAAAACAGAGACAAGACATGATATGGGCCAGTGCTGTCAGGGAAGGGGAGACAAGGCAACGCAGGGCCTTGGAGGAAGTGAGTAAAACTAATTACGGGAATGAAATACAGAGGCAGGAGTGATGATGGTAGCAGTGGTATTAACAGTAGCAACAGCACTTACTATGTGCTGGACATTGCCCCATACTTTGTTTTAAAAAAAGAATTCATCATCATTATTATTTTCCAATTTGTACAGGGCTTGTGTACTCACAGAGAGAGAGACACACAGAGAGAGAAAGCAAGCTGCCAGATCCAGGACTCAAGCCATGTTTGGCCACGTGGAAGTCTAGCACCCTAAACACACCACCTGCTGGCTCCACTGCCCCATACTTCTACCTACAGTATTTCACGTAATCTTTACAAAGCCTTGCTGTCTCCCTTAACAGATGAAAAAATGAAGGCCAGAGAAGCTTCCTAACTTACCTGAGGTCATAAGGCCAGTGGGGCAGGATTTGGGCTCAGGCTGCCCAAATCGGCCGGGATCACAGCTCACCCACCACACTGCATTATGCAAGTAAGGAGCATGGATAGCTCAGCTTGGCAAACGAAGGGAGCGGGAGGAGGACCAGGAAAGCAGACAGAGGGCAGACTGAGGAAAGTCACTCTCA